AGGGTACCATTTTAGTTCTAGTTTTAGTTTTAGTTATTAAAAGGGCTCCATTTCAGTTCTAGTTTTAGTTTCAGTTATTAAAAGGGTAGTATTTTAGTTCTAGTTTTAGTTCTAGTGATTTACAAGTGCACATTTTAGTATTAGTTTTAGTTTCAAGTTCTTAATAGCAAAATCTTTAGTTCTAGTTTTAGTTCCAGTGCTTTAATTTGTCAAATTCTAGTTTTAGTTCTAGTTTTGGTTTTTTGTATCAATGTAGTTCAGTTCTAGTTCTAGTTCTTGGAACTAGAACTAGGAAAAAAATAGGTGTACTAAAATAGATTTAGTTCTAGTTCCGTTGGAACTAGCACAACACTACTTGCCAACTGGGTTTGGCAAATCTCTCTGCTACTTATACCTTCCCATAGTCTTTGACATGCTTCAGGATAATTACAGGCAGGAGGATCTGTCTATTAATACACATTGGACCAATCATTCTGTATCGATTGCTGGCTTGTACAATGCCTTTTCCACAACCGAAGCAAACGCCATGCCTGATTAATTTATTTCAGCCACGCCTAACTACCTTGCAATTCAGCCAGCTACGCCCAAAGCCATACAACGGCACAGAACAAATCCTGTATACGTAGTGGTCCTGACCCTCCTCTCTAGCTCTGCGAAGGTCAGGCTCCGCCTGACTAGCTAGCAGTACAGTACATGCAGCTTTCTCACCCCCAGAATCCTTTATACCAAGGAAAAGACTGTATATCTGCTTTCCCAACTTTTATTCTTGCTAGAGAAGTTTCAGACAGCAGTTTAGCTTTATCTAGCTGACCGTTTCCTGCAAAATAAGCTCAGACTTGCTTATAGCCGCCATTTTATCATTGTGACCACACCCGCTTTTAATGTAGATTAATTAGGCTATTAAATTTTAACTTTAATAATAGTTAGACGGTCTGCCCGTACAAACAAACAAACGCTTTCTCGCCTTAGTGCGGCGGGCTCAGGCTCGCCCCAAGGAGCTCAGGCTCGCCCCAAGGAGCTCAGGCTCGCCCCAAGGAGCTCAGGCTCGCCCCAAGGAGCTCAGGCTCGCCCCAACGAGCTCAGGCTCGCCCCAATTAGTGTTTGAAGATGTCATCAAGTAAGTGGCTTCTTCTCTTTCTTATTTTCTCCCTTACTTAACTCCTCTGTATCCTCTCCTTATTATAACTATTCACTATATTACTGTGTCCTCTTGTTATATATAGTCTATCAACCAGTGGGGAGGGAAGATCACTCTACAGTACAGGTAGGAGACTACCTGTACATGTGGGGTGGGGGCCAGCCTGATCTCCCTGTAGTACACAATGATGAGGAGAAGAAATCATTTTGTTCTGTAGTGGAGGTGTGTCACCTACCAACTGGTACGTGGGTACAAAAGCCTACCACTGGTGACCCTCCTCTTGGCGTTCAAGCATATGCTGCTGCTGTCATTAGAAGCGAAATATTCTTTTATGGAGGAGGTTGTGGTCATGATGAATGTTATCATAATAGTTTATACAGGTAAACATAATAGTTGCTGATAAATATTATTATATAATATTTTATACAGTTTCAATGTTGACACCTTCAATTGGAAGGAACTCTCTCCTACTACATCTCATCATGGTCCTAAGATGAAGGCTGGCTGTGGCATGGTTGCACTATGCATTAATGATGAAGACTATCTTGCCGTGATTGGAGGATTGGGTCCGATTGATAATAACACCCCACCACAACCTGGTGCCCAGTACAGGGAAGAGGCTTATCAACGTTGCAATGAAGTACATCTTTACAGATTAAAAACTGGTCAGCATA